TCCCTCTCTTTGCCGCGTGTACACAGAGAAAGGCCCTGCGAAGATGCAGGGGGCAGGCAGCCATGAGCAAAGCAAGAAGAAAGGCTTCACCAGAAACCAGCCCCGCTGGCACCTTGACCTGGACTTCCTCCAGAACTGTGAGAAAATAAATACCTATTGTTTAAGTCCCCCCGACTGTAGTATTTTGTTACGACAGCCTGAGCAGTCTCAGATGCCTGGAGACCCCAGCGGAATGCCTTCTGGGAACACAAACATCCTCGGCTCTGAGCAGGCCAGGGGCCGTGTCACTGCCCACGGGAGCCACAGCCCTGCACTTCCCCGGCCTGTATTCTCCAGAGCCAGGCTTCGGCTTCCCTTCTAGACTCCCTTGGTCCCCAGTCCCACATTTCTCTTGGCACTGGCCCGGGAGCCCAACCGCAACTCAGACAGTCTTTGGGAGGTTGTTCTCGCGCCATCTCTCCATCGGTGGGCCCATTTCAAAGACGGCACTGTCTTTATGTGTGTACGTGGGAGTCCTCGTGCCAAAGACAGAAGCCAGGCACCCGTAGGGAAGAACCAGGAGCTTCTCCTGGAGGCTGAGCTGCCTCTGAGGAAGGGCTGGATCCTGTCAGACTCTGAGAGGGCTCTCCCTGTGCCCTAGGAGTCGACCCCCAGCCTCAGGGTTTCAACCTCGCAATGAATGAATTAGCCTAGGATTGGAGCGAGGGCTTTTCTACGCCAAGGAGCCCGCAGAGCTCTGTAGAAAGGCCGGGGGCTTTGGAGTCAGGTTCCTAGGGTCTTGGATCCTGGCTGTGACCTCACTGGGGGAATCTTAAGCAAGTCCTGTCATCTGTCTGAACCGCAGCCTCCCACCTGTTAAGTGGGAGGAATGACCCTCGCTTTGCAGGGTTGTAATGAAGGATTCACGCTCTTTGTGGAAATATAGCTGTGTGTGGGTGCGGTGGGGACCTGGGGGGGCGGTGGTGAGGAGTGGTGGGGTGGCTGCCTTTTAAAATATCTTCTTTTTGGCTCAAAAAGTATGTCCATGGAGAATGCAGCCTAACCGCAGTCTCTGCCCACATGTCTTTAGGACCCACTGGCCAAAGGATGCGTTAGTGAGCGGTCATCCCCGGACTGCATGTGGACGGCCTTGGCTCTTGGCAATGGGGGTTTTTCAAATGTGTGAGTGAATAAATGAAAGGCCTTATTAAGGCCTCGTTCTGGAGCACCCCAGCTCTCCAGGGATTGCTGCTCACTCTCCCTGGGGACCCACCGTGGAACGCGTCGAGTCCGGCAGCTCAGGGTCTGCAGGAAATGCCCTTCAGGGAACGAGAGCTTCGTGGGAGTCACTTTTCCAGTTGCTTCTCTGACGCCTGGGGATGCCTTACAGTGGGACTGCCAGGTGGATCCACTTCCACAGCCCCCCAACCTTGTTTTTCTATTTTGAAATCTAAGAAAAGGGTAGCACAGGGAGGTCGGAAAAAGAACCCAGTGCAGTGGGAGAGCCCGCCCTGTGTCTGTCCTGTGCTGGGACTTGCGGTCTGTCCAGCCTGGGCCCCGCGGAGGACAGGTGAGATCCCAGCGGCTCAGAGGGAATAGCGGTGGATTAGAGCCCAGGTGACTGACACTTAAGTTCCACCTCCTAGCAGGTTGTGCACACCTGCGCAACCGGTTTACCTTCGGGAGCCCTGTTGCTTCGCAGATAAAAGGGAAATGGTAACAGAGCCATCTCAGGACTGGGCGAGAATTAAGAGGTGCACTAGGGGGCTGCCAAAGGGCTTAGTTGAGGGGTAAAGTACTAAATGTACACTGCGGTTAGGACTCCGCTTGGAGTCAGTCGGACTGGGTGCGTGAGCTATAGTACTGTCTATCAATATCCCAGTGCCACCCCCGGAGTGACTTGTGATTTGGCCGAGTATACGTGCCCCTCCGTTCGGAGGGCGACTTTACAAGCTCACTGGCCATCCCCCAGCTCTCCCTGCCTGCCCCTGGGGTGGGGAGCATGTGTGAGGGCCCCAGGGGCGCCAGTGTCCTGAGTGGAGAGTAAGTGCAGCTCCCAAGCTGCCCCTTGATGGGCCCCATCGCCAGCTGTTTCCGGAGCTCGGGGATGTGAAGATGTGGGGATTGCTACTGACGCAAAGCCCAGCCTGGCTCACGGTACACCTGGATACTGTTTCTTTATGCCATTTAATAGATAGACAAGGGCAAGTAAAACAACACACAAAGAAGACGAATACATAGTAACACTAAACGCGGCCCGGCCCGGGGGAGATCTCAGGGGCAGCGCCGCTGGGTGCTACTTGCCGCCGCCGCCCTTGGAATGGGGCTTCGCCTGGGACTTGCCCAGGGGCCGGTAGACCCCGACGACCACGGCGTGATCCCTCTCGTAGGGCTCCAGGGTCAGCTGCTCCTGAGGCTTTAAATTCTCCTGCTGCAGCTTCCTCACCTCGGAGGCGAACACGGCCTCGGCGGACGCGGTGGAGTCGATGCAGTTGGCCTTGATGGAGATGAGGAAGTGGCCGCCGTTGCGCAGGTAGGTGTGGGCGTTCAGCGCCAGGATGCGCGACTGGTCGGGCTGCGCCACGTCGGCGAAGATCACATCCACCATGCCCACCAGCATGCGGTACTTGAGCGGGTGCCGCGCGTCCTCCAGCACCGGGATGATGTTGGTTCGGCTCTTGGCGACGTTGACCAGGTCGCGGCCGGCGCGGTGGGAGAACTCGACCGCGTAGACCAGCCCGTCGGGGCCGATGATGTCGGAGACGTGGGAGACCGTGGTCCCCGAGGCGGCGCCCAGGTACAGCACCCGGGACCTGGGCTTGATGTGGATCTGGTCGACCCCGCCCAGGATGGCGGCGGCCAGCTTGGAGCGGAAGGGGTTCCAGGTGCGGTACTCCTGCTTCACGCCGCCCTCGGTCACCGTGACGCGCCGCTCGCCGTACACCGACTGGCCGGGCACCATGTTCAGCGTGACCAGCGCGTCCTCCGCGCCGCGGTAGATGAAGACGCCCTCGTGCCGGTGCGGCTCCACCGTCACCGTCTTGATGCCCTTCCTGCGGCGGCTCTTGTTCCGG